GACATATCAGATAAAGGGCTAGTATCCAAAATCTATAAAGAACTTATCAAACTCAACACCCAAAGAACAAATAATCCAATCAAGAAATGGGCAGAAGACATGAACAGACATTTCTCCAAAGAAGACATCCAAATGGCCAACAGGCACATGAAAAAGTGCTCAACATCGCTCGGCATCAGGGAAATCCAAATCAAAACCTCAATGAGATACCACCTCACACCCGTCAGAATGGCTAAAATTAACAAGTCAGGGAACAACAGATGTTGGCGGGGATGTGGAGAAAGGGAAACCCTCCTACACTGTTGGTGGGAATACAAGCTGGTGCAACCCCTCTGGAAAACAGTATGGAGGTTCCTCAAACAGTTGAAATTAGAGCTACCGTTCGATCCAGCAATTGCACTACTGGGTATTTACCACAAAGATACAAATGTAGGGACCCGAAGGGGTACGTGTACCCCAATGTTTATAGCAGCAATGTCCACAATAGCCAAACTGTGGAAAGAGCCAAGATGCCCATCGACAGATGAATGGATAAAGAAGAGGTGGTATATATACACAATGGAATATTATGCAGCCATCAAAAGGAATGAGATCTTGCCATTTGCGACGACGTGGATGGAACTGGAGGGTGTTATGCTGAGTGAAATAAGTCAATCAGAGAAAGACATGTATCACATGACCTCACTGATATGAGGAATTCTTAATCTCAGGAAACAAACTGAGTGTTACTGGAGTGGTTGGGGGTGGGAGGGATGGGGTGGCTGCGTGATAGACATTGGGGAGGGTATGTGCTATGGTGAGCGCTGTGAATTTTGCAAGACTGTTGAATCACAGATCTGTACTTCTGAAACAAATAACGGAACATATTTTAAGAAAAAAGAAAAAGAAGAAGATAACAGGAGAGGAAGAAAAGGGGAGTATGTCAGAGGGGGAGATGAATCATGAGAGATGATGGACTCTGAAAAACAAACTGAGGGTTCTAGAGGGGAGGGGGTTAGGGGGATGGGTTAGCCTGGTGATGGGCATTGAGGAGGGCACGTTTTGCATGGAGCACTGGGTGTTATGAACAAACAATGAATCATGGAACACTGCACCAAAAACTAATGATGTAATATATGGTGATTAACATAACAATAAAAATTAAAAAAAATTAAAAAAATTTTTTTTCAGTTATTGTTGTGTCCCCTTAGAGGAGCCAAACATAGAGGAACTTCCTCAACCAATAAGGGCCTAAGTAACGTCTTCCTTCCAAATCCCTTAAACTGCATAATGTCTTATTATGGTTTGCCTTGCAGACCTTCTTGAACTACATTTTGATAGACTTTTCTGGATGCAGGGCTTGGGGGAGGTGCACAGGTATCCCCAGAAAAGAGCCCCATAAACAGAGCTCTGTTCAGAGTTAGCCTGAGCTAACCATCACCAAGCTTGGATGAATGTCAGAACAAGCTAAATCCCATGAGGCATGTGCGGGTGGTGCCTCCCAGCTCAGGTCAGCTATACCTACCCAGAGGTATTGATGATGTCATCGTTCCTCCCCAGGAACCAGATGTAGCCCTCTTCATCCATAGTTGCTCTATCTCCAGAGTTGTAAAAGTCCCCACACTCCACTTCAGCTGTCTTTACTGGGTTGTCCTGCAAAGACAACAACACCCCTTTGTTGAAGGCAATGAGTTTGGAGATGATGAGCCACAACCTGGTGCTCATATCTGGGTCTGGATCCCGCTCCTGGCTCTACTTGGCACCTGGGCAAGTTTTATAATCTCTCTGAGTCTATTTTCATTATATCCAAGTACTCAATGAACACTACTTGTCAATTAGTGGACAATATTGAGCCAATTTTAAGGATAATTTTTTAAAGTAACAACTCACTTTTGTGTGGCACTCTAGTAGAATAAAATTTCCACTAGAACATGAACCCTGCCTGGACAAATGGGAGGTGTCAATAAACTTCTGTTAAATGAATTTCCTTCCCAAAATACTACCTCATCTGATCCTTCCAGAAAACCTACAAGGCTTTTGTTTTTCTAATTAAATTGTTTATTTTAAGATCATTGTATATTTGCAGGGTACCTGGGTGGCTCATTCGGTTGGGCGGATAACTCTTGATTTCTGCTCAGGTCATAATCTCAGGGTCGTGAGATCGAGCCCTGCATAGGGCTCTGCATTCAGCGTGGAGCCTACTTGAGATTCTCTGTCTCCCTCTGCCCCTTCCCTAACTGATGCACACATGCATGCATATATGTTCTCTCTCTCTCTCAAATAAATAAATAAGTCTTTTTAAAAAAGATAATTATATATTTGCATGCAGTTATAAGAAATAACACAGAGAGATCCTGTGTGCCATTTACTCAGTTTTCTCCAATGGTAGCATCTTGCAAAACTACAGTTCAATATCACAACCAGGATATTGACATTGCTACAGTCCACCAATCTCACTTAGATCTCCCAGGAGTTTACTTTTACTTTTTTGTGTGTGTCTACGTGTATTTTATCAAATGTGCATCCACCACCAGAGTCAAGTTACAGAAGACTCCCGTCATCCTGAGGATCTCCTGTGTTGCTCTTTTATATCTACACCCATCTCCCTCATCTTTTCCCTCCCTCCAAATCCCTAAGCCCTTGGCAGGGACTGATCTATTCCCTAGTTTTATAATTTTGTCACTTTTAAAATGTTACATAAATGGAATCCTATAGTATGTAAACTTTTTTTTAAAGATTTTATTTATTTATTTATTTGAGAGAGAGAGAGAGAATGAGAGAGAAAGGCACATGAGAGGGCGGAGGGTCAGAGGGAGAAGCAGACTCCCTGCTGGGCAGGGAGCCTGATGTGGGACTGGATCCAGGGACTCCAGGATCATGACCTGAGCCAAAGGCAGTCACTTAACCAACTGAGCCACCCAGGCGCCCCAGTATGTAACCTTTTGGGACTAGCTCTGTTTTTATTTTTTTCACTCAGTATAATTTTCTGGAAATTCATCCAGCTTCTTATATTCATCAATACTTTGTTCTATTTACTGCTAAATGGTATTTCATGTTATGGATGAACCACAGTTTTGGTGTCAACCCATTGAAGGGCATCTGGGTTGTTTCCAGTTTGGGGCTATTGTGAATAAAGCTGCTCTCAACATTCACGTGCAGGTTTTATGTGAGGCTAGATTTTTATAGGCCATAACAGAAGAAATGAATGCTCAGAGAAGCACAATAACTCACTCAAAGTCACTCAGCTGGTCAGTGGTAGGGTTGGTATTTGAATTTAATTCTTGCTCCACAGCCTTTGTACTCAACCATTAAGCAATGTGTTGAGATCATCCCTCTCATGAAACATAAAATGATTTGAAAAGGGTCCAGGAAAAAAAAAAAACATTGAATGACATCCCATTTTAGGTTCCCTTCCAATTGTTCTCATTGTATTAAGGAGACTCTCTGACATGTTTTTAAAAGCTCTGGAACTACCAAGAGTAAGTTTCAGGACTGGAGCTTTTAGTGGGAACAGGGTTTAGCTAGAATTCAAGAAAAATTGTTTTGTTTGCGTTATAGTTATAATTGCCTTCTGTTTTTGGCAAATCATACTGTTTTCCACTTGTGATACCAATTAACTTTTTAAAAAACAGATGGTTTATTTTTTTAAAAGATTTTATTTATTTATTTGACAGAGAGAGACACAGCAAGAGAGGGAACACAAGCAGGGGGAGTGGGAGAGGGAGAAGCAGGCTTCCGGCTGAGCAGGGAGCCTGATGAGGGCCTCAATCCCAGGACCCTGGGATCATGACCTGAGCCAAAGGCAGATGTTTAATGACTGAGCCACTCAGGTGCCCCAAAAAACAGATGTTTTAAAATAAAATAATGATTATTGTGTGCATCTGTTCTGACCTATCTGGGTAGCTGCCTGAAGGACAGGTGCAAGGTACTCACTTTATATAACTCAGAAAAAAGCAGCAGGCACTGCTCATAGAAGCTACCAGGCAAACTACAAAAGTGAAGTTGCCTGAGGTAAGAAATTATAGGTAGAGATATACAATAGACCATCAAGGTCTGGGGGAGATGCTGGAGTGAGTTTTGTTTTTTAGTTTTTTTTTTTTTAAGTTAAGATGTTCAAGACAGCTATGTGCATGGGGGAATTAAGACAGCCAGGAACATGCCTGGGCAAGATGCATGTTCAGCAAAGTCCTGAGAAGACCTTAAGCTTTCATCTCAGGCTGATCCCTAGGCTCAGAGCAAGTCCAGCTAAGTGGTAAAGGAGTATCCTAGCACAGAGCCAATCTGCACAGTGGCTGTTCTCTCTCCTTTTTGGTTGGTGATGTTTTTCTTTGTTCTTCTGAGCTCCTGCCACTCAAGGAAATCTCTGTCAAAACATTAACTGAACATGAGCGAAAGGATCAGAAACCTCAGTAATCACACATGACAAACTATACTCTTTAAAGAATTTGCAAAAGTACCACAACAAAGGACTACTATAGCCTTCAACAGTCCAAAATCAAAAACAAAACAATGAAACCCCAGCAACCTCAACCCCCAGGGAAGTGGGAGAATCTGATTTCAAGAGTTCACTCATATGTGGAATTTAAGAAACAAAACAAATGAACATTGGGGAAAAAAGAGGGGAAAGCTAAGAAACTGACTCTTAACTGTAGAGAACAAAGTTATGGTAACCAGCGGGGAGGGGCAGGGGGATGGGTGAAATAGGTGATGGGGATTAAGGATGCACTCATTATGATGAGCACTGGCTGATGTATGTAAGTGATGAATCACTAAATTCTATACATGAAACTAATATTGAACTGTATGTTGACTAAGTGGAATCTAAATAAAAACTTGGAAGAAATAATAACAATAAGTCAACATGTTAAATGTGATCAAAAACTAAGAGAAAAAATGAACAAAGAACTAAAAAACAGAAAAAATTATATATGGACAAAAGAAATTCAAAAATCATTTTCTATTTAGAATAGCAACAAAATGAAATAATACAAAAAATACATTTAGTCAAGAAAGTGAAAGACTTGTACACTGAAAAATAAAAATTGTTGCCAAAAGAAATGAAAGAAGGTATCAATAAATGGAAAGACATACTGTATTAATTGGAGACTTAATATTAAGATGATAATACTACCCAAAGCCATCTTCAGGTTCAATGCACTCCCTATCAAAATCTCAGTGGGGGCACCTGGGTGGCTCAGTTGGTTGAGCGACTGCCTTCGGCTCAGGTCATGATCCTGGAGTCCCGGGATCAAGTCCCGCATCAGGCTCCCTGCTCAGAGGGGAGTCTTCTTCTCCCTCTGACCCTACCCCCTCTCATGTGCTCTCTCTCTCTCATTCTCTCTCTCAAATAAATAAATAAAATCTTAAAAAAAAAATCTCAGTGGTATAGAAATACTTATCCTAAAATTCATATGAAATCTTGATGGATCCCAAATAGCCAAGACAATCTTTTAAAGGGAGAAGAAAGTTCTTCTTTCCAGGGACAAGAGCTTACACTCCTGATTTTTAAACTTACTGCAAAACTATAGTAATCAAAACACTGTGATACTGGCATAAAAAAAAAAGACACATAGATGATTGGAATAAAATAGAGAACCCAGAAAGAAATCCTCACATATATTTTCAATGCATTTTAGGCAAGAATGCCAAGGCCATTCAGTAGGAAAAGTCAATCTTTTCAACAAATGGCACTGAGAAACCTGGATGTTCAGATGCAAATGAATGCAGTTACCTTATACACCATATACACAAATTAACTCAAAATGGATTAAAAACCTAAACATAAGAGCTAAAATTCTGAAACCCTTAGAAGAAAACATGGGGGAAGTCTTCATGATTTTGGATTTGACAATTATTAATTGACTATGACACCAAAAGCACAGGAAACAAAAGAAAAAAATAGATAAAATGTTCATCAAATTTTTAAAAAATTTTACTTGAAAGGACACTGTCAAAAGAGTGAAAAGACAATGCACTAAATGGAAGAAAATATTTGCAAAGCATATATCTTATAAGGGGTTCATATCCAGAATATATAAAGAGCTCTTACAAATCAAAACAAAACAACCCAATTTTAAAAATAGGCAAAGGACTTGAACAGACAATTCTCCAGAGAAGGTGCACAAATGGTCAATAAGCACATGAAAAGATGCTCAACATCACCAGTCACTAGGGAGTTGGAAATCAAAACCACAATGACATACCACTTCACACGCGGTAGAATGACTATTATACACACAAAACAAACAAACAAACCTGAAAATAACAAGGATTAGCAAGGATATGGAGAAACCGGAACACTTGTGCATTGCTGATAGAAATATAAAATGGTGCAGCCACTGTGGAAAACATTTTGGCAGTTCCTCAAAAAGTTAAATATAGGGGTGCCAGGGTGGCTCAGTCATTGGGCATCTGCCTTCGGCTCAGGTCATGATCCCAGGGTCCTGGCATCAAGCCCCACATCGGGCTCTCTGCTCAGCAGGGAGCCTGCTTCTCCCTCTCCCACTCCCCCCTGCTTATGTTCCCTCTTTCACTGTCTCACTGTCTCTCTCTGTCAAATAAATAAATAAAATCTTTAAAAAAAATAGTTAAATATAGAATTACCATAGGATGCAGCAATTCCACTTTCAGGTATATATCCAAAAGAAGTGAAAGCAGGAACTCAAACAGATACTTGCACACCAGTGTTCATTGCAGCATTATTCACAGTAGACAAAAGATGGAAATAATCTAAATGTCTATTAAGAAATTGATGGATATACAAAATATGGTACACCCATACAATACCATTCAGCCTGAAAAAAAATGACATTTGGTCACATGCTACAACACGGATGAACCTTGAAAACATGTGCTAGGGGAGATAAGCCAGACACAAAAGGGCAAATATTGTACAATTCCACTTAATAGAGGTACCTAAAATAGGCAAATTCTTAAACCCAAAAAGTATATTAAAGGTGACCAAATGCTGGGGATATGAGGAAGAGGGGGGGAATTATTGTTTAATGGGAACAGAGTCTCCATTTGGGATGGAAAAAAATTCTGCAGATGCATGGTGGTCATTGTACAATGTTGTGATTTACTCAGTGCTGCTGAATTGTATGCTTAAAAATGGTGAAAAGGGTAAATTTTATATATTTTACCTCAGTAAAAGAAAAGAAAGGAAAAAAGCAAATAAATCTCAGTGGAGGAGTGACAACATATAGTCAAGAGGGCATGTGAGGTATATATCTACATAGGTGTGGGCACAGCAGAGGACATCTTTGTAAAATAAAATATGTTATTTCCAATTTAAAAAAAAAATGATGTTGCTCTGGACCATCCCAGTTTAATTTAACCATAATCTCTATGGTTGGATCCAAGAGTTATTTTTTTAAATCTCCTCAACTGATTCTAACATACAGGCAGGATTGAGAACCACTGATCTATGTATCTGTTACTCTATTTTCTCTTTTATCCGAGCCTAAAATTGTGCTACTGTGAATTAAGGCTAGGGCCTGCATATTTGCTTTTGGTCAATAACATCACAAAAGGAGCAGCACCACCCACCCCCAAGGCCACAGAGTGAGGCCAACAGTGACACCATTGGTTGTTCCTGTGGAGAAAGGAGACGGGTCTGAGATCAGCTTCAAGGTCTGTCCACTCTCCCCTGACCAATCTTGGAAGCTGAGAATTTGCCTGGTCAAGAGTTTCCGGTTTCCTTAGAGCCTGTCACAGTTTTATGTAATTCCTGGATTTCTTATGTAGGGTTTGGGAACCAAAAAGATGTGGGTTTGAATCCTAGACCTGCCATTTATTTGATATGGGGAAAACATACAAAGCTTCCAATCTGCAGTTTCTTCCTCTGTGAAGTGGGGGCACCACTGTCCTCTCTGGAGGCTCAGGAAGATTAACAGATTTGTGCACAGCCTGTTGGTAAGTGGGACTGTAAGATTTGAACTCAGTCAAAGCTTCTTGCATACTCAACCTCAAGAGATCATTGGAGGGGTGCCTGGGTGGCTCAGCTGTTAGGCGTCTGCCTTTGGCTCGGGTCATGATCCCAGGGTCTGGGGATTGAGTCCCACATCCGGCTCCCTGCTCAGTAGGAGGCCTGCTTCTCCCTCTCCCACTCCCCCTGCTTGTGTTCCCTCTCTCACTGTGTCTCTGTCAAATAAATAAATAAAATCTTTAAAAAAAACAAAAAAGAGATCACTGGAACCCAAGTCTGGGGTGCTTCTTTCTACCCTGTCAGCACTTAAGTGTCAGATGGTTTCGGACAGGAAAGGATGTGAGAACACACTAGGAGCTTAGAGATTAATTAGAAGAGGCTTCATTGAGTTGGAGTGACTGAAGGGAGGTGTGAAGAAGGTTCATTGTGCAGAGTTGAATCCACCCCCTTAGCACCCACACAGCTCCCTGAAGGGATTCTGAGGGTCTGGAAGTGGGCAGGTGAGGATCACCACTTACTTCATAGCCCATGAAGAGGCCAATGGGCTTGGTGGGCTTCATCCTGATGCCAATGTTGCCTTCAGTGTTGAACGGCAGGCTGTTGCCTTTGTCGTCAATGATCTGGAGCAACAGTCCTGTGAATCCCACCCTGCAGGGCCACCCCAACACGCCTGCCCCATCCACACAGTACCTGACTATTCGTGTGACACTGGTGAGAATAAATGGGGGGAGGAACCCTGTCAGAAAATAGATTACAGCTGTCAGAAGACTTTGAAGTCAGGAAATGGTGAAACCCAAGTTATGGGTCTATTGGTCTCATGGATATGCAGACGTAGCAAACATGTCTTAAACACAGATCAGGGAAAACTCGAAGGACCAGCTGATGGAGAGAGCTGCCAGGGCTCCCTCCACGTGCTCTGGTCCCATCTGTTGTGTGTGAGGCTTCCGGCTGCCAGGCTGAGCAGCATTCATGCCCAGGATACTGCAGTTCTCAACCGAAGCCTCCCCAGGAAATCGGAGGGAAAACGGAGGAGAGAGAGAAGGACAACTGGGGTGGGGGTAGGGTGCAGTGGGCACAACTGGTTCTGTCACCTGGTGTCCCACAATCGTCCAATCCCAGCTGAGCCCTAACTGCACCCAGCAAATGCCTTTAGGACCACACCTGGACATCGAAGGGGGGAATGCCTTTCCCCATGGAACCCGGCTTGATCTTCATTCCACGGAGAGTGCCACAACTTACTCCCTATTCATAAAAGAAAGAAAATAGGGTTGGTCAAAGAGTCCAGGCTGATTACAAAGCATTAAGAACCACACACAGCACCCTCACTCATCCATGTCATTGGATGCTATGCAAAGAACTCTAGCTCCTGGGGCTACCGGGTCCATCGGGAGGGGCCAAAAAAGAAGCAAAGAGGTGAGCCCGGGGCTGTGGGAATGTAATGTGAGGTGTGGAGTACGCACTGTATGTCAGACATGTGTCTGTTTGCTAGAGGAAGGCCATAATATCATTTAACATTGACTCAGGCTGTTAAACAGTGATAGGAACCCTGTCTCAATGACTCAGAGCTGTGCTGAGAATATTCAGATTGTGTTGTCCCCTCTGCTAGGCAACTGCCCCACCCCCATTTATCTTCCTGATGAACTTTATTCCTCCTTTATGGTACTCTAAAATAGCTTTCTAAAGCTAAGCCAGACCAGGATTTGAATCTTTTTTTTTTCTTTTTAAGATTTTGTGTGTTTATTTGAGAGAGAGAAAAATGAGAGACAGAGCAGGGGTGGAGGAGGAGGGGCAGAGGGAGCAGGAGAAGCAGACTCCCCAGCTGAGCAGGGAGCCCAACGCGGGGCTCGATCCCAGGACCCCGGGACCACTACCCAAGCCAAAGGCAAATGCTTAACCGACTGAGCCACCCAAGGATTTGAATCTTGACTCCAGTTATGTGCCAATTAATCCCCTTTCATCTTCTTCTCTGTAAAGGGAGGTAATTATAACACTTAGCTCTCATAGTACCTGTGAGTGTGTGGAAAACTCTTCACACAGTGCCTGACACACCAAGTTAGTTCCATAAACAGTTACAACTAGCTATTATTCTGGTCCCAAGAAAAGTCAGTTGGGAGATTCTCCTTCTATTTTTTTTTTTTCCCACACTTCCATTGTAGCCAACAGAGCATTATACTTCTTTTTTTAAAAATATTTATCCATTTATTTTAGAGAGAGAGAAAGAGCGCAAGAGTGCTTGAATGGGGTTTGGGGGGCAGAGGGAGAGAGAGTCTTAAGCAGACTCCCTGCTGAACATGGAGCCCTATGCGGGGGCTCAATCCCACGCCCCATGAGATCACCACCTAAGCTGAAACCAAGAGTCGGAAGCTCAACCCACTGAGCCAACCAGGAGCTCCCAATTATACTTATTTTTGCTTGTCTGTTGCCCTCACTGGATAACAAGCATCCTGAGAATAGGGATTGCCCCATTCATCTCTACTATCCTAGCATCTAGGGCAACACTTACTTAAAAACAAGAGTAATGGTAAGGTGAGCATGTACAAGGGGTTGGACATTGTAGCCAGAGCTTTATATACTTCCTTTCATTTCCCTTATCACAACCCACTGAGATTGGGTTATATTTCCATTCTGGAAACAGAGAAGCAGAGACTCTGGAAGGTTCAATGCTATGCCAATGGTCTTGAAGCCTGTAACTGGCAAGCTGAGATTTGAACCAGGGTCTGAGTTCCTGAGAGGGAAAGCTCTTTAGCCTTTGCTATGTTGCTGCTCACAGTACAAGCATGTGGAAAATGTTCCATAGATGAGTCAGTGGCTATGAAAATACTTTGTGAAATACAGCACTACCTGAGCATAAGGCAGTATTCTGTTGTTGCAAATAGTTGATACAAAGGAACCTGGATCATGGGTATAGTGTAGTTCTCATCCCACCTTCCTCCTTGTCCAAATATAAACTATGAAGACAAACCTAGAGTCTTAATATTTCTTAGGCCTGGAAGAAGACCAATTAACTGATGATTTAAAAGCATATGTTTTTGCAAAAAAGTCAGACAAGTATGTGAATTGAGGCTAAAAATAGTTATTTTGCTCCAGCTCCTGAGATGGTAGTCATCTGTCTGTCAGTTACAGGGAGAACAAGGAGGCTGAGGAAAGTGGCTCTGCCCAGCAACAGAAATGACTTGAGAATTGTGTTGGAAGAAAGATACCTGCCCCTGCCCCTACTATCATCAATAACGTTTTTGTGGTTCAAGACATGCCTGATACTCTGAATGCCCTGTCACCTGGCTATTCAGTGATGCCGTTGGGAGTCACTGATTGTGTGTTTGTGTGTGTGTGTGTGTGTGTGTGTGTGTGTGTGTTGGTATATACAGAAAGTCTCTGCTCCCTCCCACAATCAAACCTGTGTGCTGTCCACATGAACACCCAGAAATGAATTTCTGGGGCCAGCTCCTGGCTGCCTGTGGTTGCCACCCTAGGAAGGGATGAAGTAGGCAGGACTTGCAGATGGTGGGCTCCATGTTACTGGAGAGAACCTCCCATCCCACCACCCCTCCTCGGCTCCCTAGAGCTAATGATCACAGGGATGGTGGCACCATGTCCTTACACCCCTTTTCAAAGTTTTGTCCAATAGTTTTCTGTACATTGGCCTCTTGACAAACTGATGAGCTGTGAATTGCCTTTGTGCAAATTGATTTGGGGCAAATTAGCCTAGAACTCTGAAGCCTCCCATTGGCTTCAGGAAATGCTGTGAGCAGAGTGAGGCCTCTGCACATACACGGTTCAGCTCATCTGCTGGGCTCAGTGGCTCAGCACATCCTGACTGACCAAGAAAGTACCATCTAGCTACTGTTTCTACCTACTGTTTCTGACTGTCCGTAGATCTCGTAGAGCAGAAGGCCTGTCTGTCTTCTCCACTGCTCTTGATCCTCCGGCAGCAGAGCCTCCCCACCGGCACTGCAGTGCTCCAGGGTAGGGAACCTGAGACTTAGGGGAAGGCAAAGGGACAAGAGAACTTGCAGTCAGGCCTTGGATGTTCTGCCCCAGGCCCAGAGTGTTAAGAGCTCAGAGCCTCGTCATCTGGAACATTCATGCTTCTGTTTCCTCATGTTCTTACTTGCCTTTTGGGCAATTTGCTGGTGGTCAAAGCCAACTGGAAGTCACTCACTTCCTGTCAGTTCATGTTAACTCTTCTGGCCAAGGGGTGGGTGGTGGTGGTGAGGCTAATGGGTTTGGATCAACTTTGGAAGTTGACATTAAAAGATGGCAAAGATGTATTTATCAGACCTTGTCTTCACATTCTCTGTGGCTATGAGGGGTATTTTATAAACTGTAATGTGGTGGGGGATAAGATCCCAAGATCCAATAGCATCCCATGTTAGGATGCTAACAGAACTGCTTTGCGTTCTCTGAAGACTAGGGTCATGTGAATTGAAGGGCTTTTGTATTTCTGAGCAAAGAATGCAAGTTAGAAGGTAGAAATGAATTGCCCAGGACATCAAGGAAGACTGGGATGCATGTAGGAAAAGAGAGAAGGGTTATGGTAGCAGCCCTGAGAGAAAGAATTTCAGAGAGCCAAAAATTTGGCTGTGAACATCTGTAGTAGGTACATTGCATGATGTAAATCCTCTTCTTCATTTTTCCCCATAAAATTTTCTGCTAATAAAAAAACAACCACAAAATAATGATGGATTCCCTGAAGGACGTGGGGAAAAGTGATTGAGGTCTGAGTACCAGGTGGCCTGGGGCTGAGCCCGGTCAGATCTTGGGGATGAGAGGAGTAGCAGACATCTTGTTCACCTTTTCATCCTCACCACCCTGTCCTGGTACATCAGAGTCAGAGTCAGGGACAGGAGGGCTGAGTTCACTGAGGGTGTTTTCTTCATTCTTCTGCAGCTTTATCCAAATTAGGTAAAATGGGCAGATTCTCTGATGCAGTCATTACTATGGTTTGGTTGTATATTTAGTGGGTTTGGACAAAGATCATCGACTGAGGGATGTTCAAAAAGTAGCTTAATATGAGCTTTGAAATACAGATGGAAACAGGATCCAAACAGCTTGAGGCTTCATGAATAAAATCAAAACTATGTTTCAGAGTTAGCTTCATAAGGGTAGCCATAGAACACCTTAATATTTTAATTCTATATTTAAGACATGTTACTCTGATTTTTGAAGTAGCCATTTTAATCTCAGACTCTTTAAAAGATACATAAATGCCCATAAGTTTCAAAGAGCAGATTTCAGTTTAGCTGAAATTAATCTGCAAACATGGGGAAATGCAAAAATAAAACTCTACAGTAAGATAACACTATGTATCCATCAGATTGACAAACATTAAAAATTCTGACAAAAACAAATATTGCCAATGTTATGGAACAATGGGAATTCTCCTCTCTTGCTAATGGGAGCATTTCAATATGGAAAATCCCATGGTTACCATACGATCCAGCAATTGCACTGGGTATTTACCCCAAAGATACAAATGTAGGGATCTGAAGGGGTACGTGCACCCCAATGTTTATAGCAGCAATGCCCACAACAGCCAAACTGTGGAAAGGGCCAAGATGTCCATCGACAGATGAATGGATAAAGAAGAGGTGGTATATATACACAATGGAATATTATACAGCCATAAAAAGGAATGAGATCTTGCCATTTGCAACGACATGGATGGAACTGGAGGGTGTTATGCTGAGTGAAATAAGTCAATCAGAGAAAGACATGTATCATATGACCTCGCTGATATGAGGAATTTTTAACCTCAGGAAACAAACGGAGGGTTGCTGGAGTGGTGGGGGTGGGAGGGATGGGGTGGCTGGGTGATAGACATTGGGGAGGGTATGTGCTATGGTAAGCGCTGTGAATTCTGCAAGACTGTTGAATCACAGATCTGTACTTCTGAAACAAATAATGCAATATATGTTAAGAAAAAAAAAAGAAGAAGAAGAAGAAGATAGCAGGAGGGGAAGAATGAAGGGGAGTAAGTCAGAGGGGGAGACGAACCATGAGAGACGATGGACTCTGAAAAACAAACTGAGGTTTCTAGAGGGGAGAGGGGTGGGGGGATGGGTTAGCCTGGTGATGGGTATTAAAGAGGGCACGTTCTGCGTGGAGCACTGGGTGTTATGCACAAACAATGAATCATGGAACACTACATCAAAAACTAATGATGTAATGTATGGTGATTAACATAACAATTAAAAAATAAAAAAAAAAGAAAATCACATGGTAAAATGTCGTGTCAGTGTGAACTAGCAATTCATCTTCCAGAAAAATGCTACAGAAATGCATGCTTATATGCACCAGCATACATGTACAAGAATTCAATGCAGCATTAATCACTAATAGCCCCAAAATGAAAACTACCCAGTGTCCATTAATGGTAGAACAGATAAAAAACACATGATATTTTTATACAATGGGATATTATACAGCAATGAAAATTAACTACAGCAACCTGCAGCAACATAGACACATCTTAAAAACATAATGCTGAAAAAAGTAGCCAAATATTACAGAGTAATACATGATTACACACGTAAAGATCAAAGGCAAGTAAAATATGATAATTTGTTTAGGGGTATTTCCTTAGGAGGTAAACTATAAGGGAAAACAAGGAAATGAACACCATAAAAGTCAAGGTAGTAAATTCCTTTAGGGGAGAAAGAGAGCCACGAAGAGATCTCTGGGGTGTGGGCAATATTCTATTTTTCTGACTCAGTGAGTGGTGACACAGGTGTTTTTCAACAATTCATTAATCTATACATTTATGTCTTATGTATTTTTCTGTATGTTTGTCCTTTCATAAGAAAAAGTTTAAAAAAGAATAAACCCACAATGATGCAAGGCTTACTGAGTGTTTCATTTGGATCTTGGATGAACTAATTATCACCACCAACACTTATCCCCCACGCACACACCCCTCAAAGAACCACAGTTAAAAATAGACCATGGCACATTGGATTCCTTAAATTCCTACCCAAAGATTGTTATGACCAGCTACCACCACTTCTACTATACCTGGTAGAACTGTGCTGTAGAATCATTCGATATACGAATGGTACCGCAAGGCACTGGGTGATGGGGTATTTGAACAACATCTAGAAAATGAGAAAAGAAGGAATTTTATTTTTATAATAAAGATTTAAAATATCAGTTAATTATTAGTATTTTAATTCTGATCTCCTCTCTAAGGAGAGCCCATTATTTATTTAGTTCTTTCAATATACCTAAATTGAGCATGAATTTTGTACATGGCATGCATCAGGCACTATTGGGAGAAAGCAAGAGTAAGATAACATCCCAACTGAGAATAGGTAGTAATAGAGAAGATAAAACAGGACTCATATGGTAAGAAGGAAATTGGTAGATGTCATAAGAGAGATTGGAAGAAGGAGAACATAGCAGAGGGAAATACTCCTTTTGAATGGGTGATCCAGGGACCTCAAGGAACAGGGGGCATTTTGTTGGGGTATTTAACAAATGGAATAGTGTCTACAGGCAGAGGAAGGGGGCAGTGGTTCTTGCAGATAGAAGAAGTAACAGGAGTAAAGTTTCCAGAGTTGAAGAAACTTTAAGCAAAGTCAAATAATACAGTTTATTTAGATAGGAGAGGAACAAGAAGTAAATTTAGGAAGATTGGGGTTAGTTGGAGCCAGATTATATAGAGTCTAAAATATCTGGTATTCACTGTTGTTTTACTAGAGGTGGGAGTCTTTCAGTTTCAGATCAGGGTGGAGATACACTGGGAGAACAAGGAACACTAAAGAGGAGAGAATGTGGGTTTGGGGTCAGCCTGCTCGACTTCAATCCTGTTATTAATTCCTGTGCAACTCTGCTTTCTCATCCGTAAAATGAGAATATCTGTATCTTCCACGCAGAACCACAGGGAGGTGTAATGAGTACATGGGGGAAATCTGCCTCCACTTTCGGTCCTTCTCTGAGTCCAATCAACTCTCCCTCCCTCCCTTCCCTCCTTCCTTCCTTCCTTCCTTCCTTCATCCCTTCCTTCCTTCCTTCCCTCCTTCCTTCCATCCTTTTTCCAGTATAATTAACATACCGTGTTATATAGTTTCAGTTGTATAATATAGTGATTCAACAATTCTATATATGACTCAGTGCTCATCAAGGTAAGTGGACTCTTAATCTTCTTCACCAATTTCACCCATCCTCCCACTCACCTCCCCTCTGGTAACCATCAGTTTGTTCTGTATAGTTATGAGTCTATTTTTTTATTTGTCTCTTTTTTTTCTGTATTTGTTTGTTTTGTTTCTTAGATTCCACGTGAGTGAAATCATATGGTATTTGTCTTTCTCTGATTTATTTCGCTTAGCATTATACCTTCTAGATCCATCCAAGTTGTTGCAAATGGCAAGAGTTCATTCTTTTTTATGGCTGAGTAATATTCCATCATATCTATCTATCTATCTATCTCACATCTTCTTTATCCATTCATCTATGAATGGATACCTGGACTGCTTTAATAATTGGCTATTGTAAATAATGCTGCAATAAATATAGGAGTGCATATATCCTTTTGAAATAGTGTTTTCATATTATTTGGGTAAATACCCAGTAGTGCAATTACTGAAACATATGGTAAATCTATTTTTAAGTTTTTGCGGAACCTCCATACTGTTTTCCATAGTGCCTGCACCAGCTTGGATTCCCACCAGACAGTGCATGAAGGTTCCTTTTTATCTACATCCTTGCCAACACCTGTTGTTTCTTGTGTTGTTGAGTTTAGCCATTCTGACAGGTGTGAGATGATATCTCATTGTGGTTTTGATGTGCATTTCCCTGATGACAAATGATGTAGAGCATCTTTTCATGTGTCTCTGGGCCATCTAGGCATCTTCTTTAGAGAAATGTCTGCTCATGTCTTCTGCTCATTTTCAGTTGGATTATTTGGGGGGTTTTTGTGTTGAATTAAATGGATAGTACATTTTCAGGGGGCACCTGGTTTGCTCAGTCATTAAGTGTCTGCTTTCGGCTCATGTCATGATCCTGGAATCCTGGGATCAAGTCCCATATCCGGCTCCCTACTCAGCAGGAGGCCTGCTTCTCCCTCTCACACTCCCCCTGCTTGTGTTCCCTCTCTTGCTGTCTCTCTCTCTGTCAAATAAATAAATAAAATCTTTAAAAATTTTAAAAAATGGATAGTACATTTTTAACTTAACATTCCTTCTTTCAATCAGTATCTCTCATCTTCAATAAGAAGAACTGAAGCTAAAAATGTTATCATTAAAATCACAAAAGTAACAAATGAAAAATAAATCAAAATAATTAAATTTTCAAATGCTGGTGTGTGTGTGTGTATGTAAATTTGTAGAATACTCTGAAATAATTCAAGCTTAAAGCACACTGAGACTTTGGGACACTCATGTGGTGGAGGTGGCGGGAGGGAAGGTGGATTCGGTGGGTTTTGTGTGTGTGTGTGTGTGCAGCTTTAAGCCTCAAGGACTGGCAGGAGGTGTGCAGTAAACAATGATAGAGAGGCAAATATTGACATGTGGCGGGGAATGAGAAATGGAAAATGCAGTCTGATGTGCTGGAGGGATCATCAGGTGGACTTGGGGAAGATAAACAAGGGGGAATTTGCATGGAGGGAGAAGACTAGACCTAAGGCATGGTTTCAAGAACCCCCTGAATGGATGTGCATGCTGGTGAAATGGAAGTAGAGGAGATTGTTTAGAAGGAAGAGGAAGGGTGAGGGCAGACCCTTGGAGGACTGCAGTATTCAGGAGTAAGCTGGGTGAAGAGGATGTGGCTGCAGCAAGTGGAGAAAGTTCTATAGAGTAGTTTGGTACTAAGGGAGGAAAGACAGGGTTGGTCCAGTGTGGAGCAGGGTGAAGGGAAGGTATTTTTTAGGATGGGGAACCATGAATATGTTTATGGACTAAGGGTACAGAGTTAATGAAGAGCAAGAGGTTGAAACTGTGGGAGAAAAGATTTAATAAATGAAAGATTAATGAAGAGGGGCAAAGTGAGAGATTAAAAATACAGGAGAAAAGATTTAATGGATGGGAGATTAATGAGAAGGGCTCCTAAGAGAAGGACAGAGAAAAGAGCAGGCTCCACAGTGGTTGTGGGGAGGGGACTGGGCTTTGAGAGGTGGAGGGGCCTGTGTGCCAGCTCAGGACTAAGCACTTCACACACTTCACCTGTACCATCTAATTTATATTCCAACAATTTTGTGATGTAGTAATTATTAAAACTCCCATTTTACCAATAAAAAACTGAGGCTTGGAGTAGCAAGTAAACCACAAATAAATGTTGAACGTGGGATAAGAAGCTAGATTTGTCATTTTCCAAGGACACTGTTTTTAAACACTTCAATAAACTGAGCAACAACAACACACACACACACATTCACACAGACACACACACAAACACACACACACACACCAGCTACCTGGCTCTAGCAGATCCAGGATCCAGGATACCTGAGCTTACTCTGGTTGCTTTAATTTCTTAAAATGTGTTTTCAGGGTCCCAAGTCCACAAAATCTGATCCATAGGCCTGGGGGAAGGGCTTGGAATCTGCATTTTCTTCAAGGTTTCATCCAATGTGATTTAGATACAGTGAGGGACTCAGTGATCCACACTTTGAGAAACCCAGAACCAGGGTTATATTATGCTTATGGGACCCTCTGCTAAATAAAATATTTTTCAGCGGGATCCAGCTTTTGAGTTTGAAACATGAGTTTCTTCTAAGAGTTTGTCGATACCAGAAGGTTAATCTTCTTACCTGCTCTACAACCTTGGGGTCAAACTGGGGCAGATGATGGATAAAGAGTGTAGCCCCTGCTGTCCATGGTTCCAACAGGCACCCAAGGACAGCCAGAATCCAGCCTGTGTCCGAAAGGCACCAGAAGATATCAGATGTCTTCAGTTGCAGCAATTTCCTGCTAACTCCAAAATACAGTGGCCTCAGCTATGTGATTGATCATGAGAGAATGTGATCAAGGGCTGGGGACTTTGGTTTTCAGGTGTTGACCCACCCCTCATTCTCAGTGCATGTGGTTTGAGTGCGGCTCCAGACACACTCCCAAACCAGGTCCCTAGAGTATGCCAAGTCCTATTTTCTGGCATGTGTGCCTTCAACTGGTTTAGTTATAATCATCCTTAAGGCTGGGAATATGGGGACAAAATCTGTAGCTCTTTTCTTGGATTTGACTCTGTTACTGATATAGTCCTAGATAATGTTGGCCATTTGGGGATAACAAGAGATAATAAGCCTTTCCAAGAAGAGCATCAAAACACAGCAGAAACAGTGCTGACAGATGGAGAGATGAAAACCTAACCCAGAGACTCCCTAGCTATGTCTGAAGACAAACCCTGGAGTGCCCTGCCTCATGATCCAATAAATTCCTGTACTCATTTTTTGGCTTAAAGAGGTTTAGATTGGGCTTTCTGTCATTTGTGATGAAGAAAGAGAAAGGGAGAGAGAGAGGGAGACAGGAAGAGGGAGAGAGAGTGAGAGAGAGACTTAATTTTTAATATCCCATCTTGGCAAAGGACTGGAAACAATTAGACAATAGGCAATAATTGGAAGGTGGAGTGGAGAAGGTTTCTCATTTCTCTACCCTACCTTACTGCTTCTGAGTGACCTCTGTGTGCATAACTCCTTGAGAAAACACAACCTTCCCATTAGCAGGTGATGGCTTTGAGGAACTTCACTATTAATAGGAAAGGGCAATCCACCCTCCCTTATCCCAGCTCTCTTAGGATTGTGGCTTACCCGTAAGACGTTACCAGCTAGGAGGATCTGTCTTCTCAGCTTTAGACCCACTACCCACTGAACATCTCTTCTGGGGTGTCTCTCAGGGACCTCAAACTCACCAGATCCTAATCTCTCCTGACTCCATTGGATTAATTCTTTCTCCTCCAATGTTCTCTGTATTTTAGTGAATGTCATTACTGCCCATGAAACTGCCCAAGCCCAAAAATCTGAGAGTCAACCTTGACTGGACCCTCTCTTATCTCCCACATCCAGCCAGTAGATCTCGTCCATTTTACCTCCTAAAATCTCAAATATGTTAACTTCCTTCATGTCTCTGACACCTTCGCCAAGCCACCACCATCTTGGATTATTCTAAGACCTTCCAACTGGTCTAACTCCATTCTGATTTTTCCCAACCCATTCTCCATATTGCAGCTACAATATCTTTTTTATCTTTATTTTTTATCTTTATCTTTTTTTCCTTTTTCTTTCTTTCTTTCTTTCTTTCTTTCTTTCTTTCTTTCTTTCTTT